GAGAGAGTTAAACCTAGAACTACGTGAATAATAGGGTGGAACTATGGGGTAAAACCCTAATTTTCCTTAGAGATAAGGAGTAAGTTTCGAAGACTAAAAGGAGTAGAACTTAAACAATAGTATCCAACTAGGATTTACTTTGAGAGGTATTGCTTCAGCATTATTCTATCAGGTTTCTTGTTAGAGCTAGTTTAGACGCAACTTAGAAAACTCTGTCGAGCATAATGTGACTGGAAATTGTTGATATTCATTAAGGGTAAGACATAGGATCCCAAGGTAAACCTAACTATTTAGCCTTGTTAGCAGTTTCATTTGTGTGAGGTCAGATCGTGGTCTTATTTCTGCAACTTTTCTCAATTTATAGTTTTGTTACAACATTTCTCATTTAATCTCTACCACGACATTTTCCTATAATTGATACTTGTATCAATACTCACAGTCATTTATTCATATAATATTCTTTTAGTTTGTTTATATTGTAAGTGCACGATCTTTACTCGAAATCCATCTAATCCTAGTGGGTTTAATACCCACTTACTTTTTATTACTTGTGTGATCGTGTATACTTGCATAATTTACGTATCAAATTTAGTACACTATCACACACAACAACCATAGCCTAGTCCAACCACTAGCACTTTACTTCCGATCAAGAGAATCTCTCGTGCCAACCTCCAAGCAACGATACATACTTTACTAAGAACTCTTATCTTTGCTACGGTTTCGCCAAAGAGATGAAATTGCTTCATTTATGTGAGTTGGCCGCTGGAGCCACCAATAAACAGAGCGAACATAATACATACCCGAATCATTGTTCCCCTACACTATACAATCGATGAAGCAAGGCGCAATTGGAGTTTGAAGAATCTGTTCAGCATCCTTATAGTAAAAAAACTCACATACCTTATCCTATCTCTATAGCGGTCGATCCCTATACATTAAGCCTCCGCATCGGATATCTCGTAATTGCGGGATGTTGTAGGTACCTGCAAGGGTTAATGGCTTTGTGTCTCCTCATTTATCATGAAACAGATGAGTACCGCTATTACATCCCACTCTCCAAAAGAAAGCCGGTGATAATGCCTGTAAAGTCTTATAGAGACATTTCTGTGTAAGAACTCTTGCATCCAAGTTTAGCATGTAAAAGATCACTGTCCAGGTAATACTTAGCTCGGAACATATGAGCAAAGAGTAAACCAGGTTCTTTAATAAAGCTTAAATTATTAACCATCAAATTATTTTTTTTAACTTAAATAACAATTTTAAAATTTTTATTAATAATTTCATATATATTTTTTAACTTAAAATTATTTGATAAATTTAACAAATATATATATATATATATATATATATATAATCATTAAATTATTTTTTAACTTAAGTAACAATTTTTTAACTTTTTCTTTTTTCCATTCATTACAATATATTATATGTTATATATTGCATTTTGAAACCATGTAGTGCTCCTAGCTTAGTGGTTTGGGTGTTCGTTTCTAATCCACCTTTACCCAAGTTTGATTCCCATATTACCTCATCTTTGTGATTTCTTATTCTACTCTCAATTTTGCATCCAATCCAATGGTGACACATGTCACCATATGATTGGATGGAAAAATAAAATAATTAAATTTAAAAAAATCTTTCATTCATGTTTTGAAACATAACATGATTTGATTAGATGATTAAATTTATTAAATTAAAATTTGGATCAATTTGATATAATGTACAAGTATTAATGAATAAATGTATAATTATGTCAATTTTTTTAAATGTCAAGTCAACACTTATGTCAACTGCTAACAACAAATGGCTTAATTGATAATAATGGGCATTTCATAATTCGGAGGTCTCTTACGGAAGCTGCTCTCAAACTGGTGTTGGGGGTAGTCTACTATCTTACCTCTCCCTTACCCCATATATATGGGAAAAAAAGGACATCCATTTAAATAATTAAATAGTCTGATTGACAAAATAAAAAGATCAGTAGTAAAAGTAAAATGACTAAATAGTTGAGTGTTCAATGGCATAGTTTAAATTAAATTTATAAAATACATATAATATAAATACTAATCATAAATAGGGATGAGCTTCGGTCAAACCAATCCTGCGCAAAAAGTTTACATCTTCCATCCTACCCGACCTAAAATAATATATTTAATAAAATATTATTTTATTTAATAAAAATAAAGATTTAATTGAATAAAATAATACATAGAAATATATTATTGTAATTATTTCTAAATATAAAAATAAAATTATATTTTTTTTCGGGTCAAGTTAGGTATTTTTTATTATAAACCTAACATGATCCAAACCTTTTTTTTTTTTTAAAAGTCCAACTCGGATGGAAACTCGTGGGTCTAATTGCCATGCCCATCCCTAAATCATAAAACTTAAGTAAAAGCTACTGTTAATAAAATTTTACCGCCCAATGCAAGAAGATGGATAGGTGGAACAGTACTGTAATGTACCGTCCTTTAACTTTATTATTGGCTTGTAAATCTTTTTGGAAAGAAAAAGCTGAACTTTTGATACAACGTCTCGATAAAAAAATGATTTTTTTTTAATTTTAGAAAACTACAAAAATTCAAATGCATCAATGATTATTATAAAAGCCATCGTTTTCCCTTCACAGTTAAACACCAACACTACCCTCAACCCCCCAAATTCAATCTATAACCGTGAAAAAGGGTGGTTTTTTCTTTACATTTTAGGGAAAAGCACACAAATGGTCCTTTAACTATAAGATACTATTTTATTAAGTTCATCGACTATTAAAAAGTTATAAAATACTCCTCTAATTATAGAGTATTGTTTTATTGAGTCTTTTAACTATTAAAAGTTATAAAATGATCACCCGACTGTTCATTATGTTCTAAACTCGTCCTTCCCATTAAGAAATAGATAATATTCTGAGATGAACTTTAATATATTGATTGTGATATGATAAAATATGATATCAGAATTTCAAATGACTATCATATCCTAGTCATTTTGTTAACACTAAGCTTGCCAACTTTTTAATGAAAAATGACGAGTTTGGAAATAATGAATAATTGAATGACTATTTTATAATTTTTAATAATTTAAGAACTTAACAAAATAACATTCTATAGTCGAAAAATTATTTTATAATTTTTAATAATCGAGAAATTTAATAAAGTAGTATCCTATAATAGGAGACCATTTGTGTACTTTACCAACATCAATCAATAGAATATAATATAATAAGAATAATATTAAGACACTGATTTGAAGGGAAAAAATAGTGTAAAAAAATGATCAACTATTTAATGTATTCGTAAAGTTAACCAGACGGTAAGATATCTCCTACGTGACGTATGAGTAGAACAACACGACATATGCATGGAAGATGAAAGGTTACAAGTTATAACTTGAAAAAATATCATATCTTTTATGCGCATTTTTTTTTAAAAAAGTTACCTTTTTATGTATTTTTTTAAAGACTTTAAGTGGTCGTTTGAAAATGTTTATTGAAATGTTTTTAACTTAAAACTTAATTTGAAACGTAAAAATATTTATAAACAACTTATTTTAATAAAAAAAACTCATGTTTTAAATGTTATTTTTAAACTTAAATAAAAATTGAAAAAAATAATTTTTTACGTTTAATATTTTTTATAAAAAAATCATTTGGAAAACTATTTTCAAACGAAACCAAGTGATACGATAAATTTCTTCTACAGAGGTCATTTACATGTTATCATCAATTGATATTAAAATGGAAATTTATTATAATTCGAGGGGTAAAATGGAAGTTTCATATTCAAATGGTGGACGGAAACTTGGAATTGGATGGTGAATCATACATCAGTGTATTAATAATATGATGAGAAATAATGGCGAAAACAGGGAGAGTGTGTCGTGTAGTGGGAGGGGCAGCGCAACATGGGTTTCGGTTTACGACGACTTTTCTTCATCATAATCTAAAAAATATAATCCAAGAACTGTTGTTGCGTTTGGAATTTGAAGGAAAAAAAGAAAAAAAAAGTGATTATATTTAAAAGGTTTAATATAAAATAAGTGTGAATTTTATCTTGAAAATGTTTAAAAAATTTATCATTTAATTTTTTTAGTTATATTTTTAGGGTTTGTAGTTATTTTTTTTTTATTTTTTTAATAATGAAAATATTATTTTTTTAATAAAAATTAAAATTAAAAAAAATTCCTAAACTTTTAATAAAATTATAAAAAATTCAAAAAAATAAATTATCATATTTTAACCCGTTACCATGGTGGAACATTGGAGGAGCATTGACAGAGTGACAACGAGGATGAATTTTGAGTAGAATTGGACGGTGGTTTGAATGCTGGTGACGGCGTGACATATGGATGTCATGATATACTATAATCGACGAAAAATAGTGACCGTGACTTAAAACTCGACGATACCTTGAAAGTTTCTCTACGACAAACGGCGACAACTTACTGGCGAAAAATAATCGAAAATTTGATCGGATGTCAACTCTAGTGTTGGTGATAGTGGTGCTGATGGTCACCGCTTTCCGACTGACAACCTATTGCAGGGGCAAGAAAAGGGGGAAGGGGAGAGGGAGCACGGGGGCATTGTTAATTTCTTTTTACAAAAATTATTTTTTATTTTAAAAATAAATTCGTAAAATTATCAGAACGTGAAACATATTAATTAACGATGATTTTTAAGGACTGACACCTAAACGTATAATTTTAGAAACATTAAGTATATATATTTTTAGAAACAATAGGTATATATTTTTAACGATATTTTTATATTAAATCTACTTAAAACCGATATTTCAGCCATGGAAATAGATGAAGAAGAAAAATATCTACAATAAAATAATTATAGAAAATAATTAAGGGATTGTTTAGTTTTTTTGTTTGTTTATCATAAGATTTTAAAAAAATGAATGTTGAAAAAAAATCAATCTTTCACTCTCTATTTGTTCACTGTTTTGAATTGAATAGAATGGTACTGCAGACTTTTTTCTTGCTTTTCTTTTTAATTATATAATTTAACTTAATTAAGGGGTGGAAGTGGGAAGAAAAAGATGGGGAAGGGGGAACCTGATGCCTCTTTTGATGTGTGAGTGGGTGGTTCTGATTTTCACTTCAACTTTCTCTCATCTCTCATTTTATTTCCTCTCTTTTCTTTCTTCCCAAACAAAAACTCTTCCTCTCAAAAACTAATTTTTTGCCTTCTCTTGGACCAAAATTTCCCCCAAAGGTAATTTCTTTTGCCTTCGCTTTCTCTTCTTCTACATCGATCCCGCCTGCTGTTTTTGTTCAAAGCATAGGCTTAACTTGTTTTCAATTCTTCTTTTTCTCATTTGTATACTTAAACGTTCTTTCATAAAACTATTTACTTACTATATATATTTACATTTGATTTCACCATCTCCTTTGTCTTCTCAGCTTCTGGGTTTCTTTCTTGCTTAGTCCTAAGGTTACCAAGAAGGAAAATCTAGTATGTGGGTTTTAAAACACTAGCTTTCCTTCCTGGGATCTGTTCAACTGCGTGTTTCTGATTTGAGTTTCTTCTCTTTATTTTATTTCATGAAGCTTTCTGTGTTTGCTGCTTCGTTCAGTTTCTTACACGGTTTCAAAAATTTCCCATTTATATGTATTAATATTTGTTTCTATTCTATCTAACTATTAATTAATTATGGGTTGCCTTTTTTTCATGGATCTTGATCATTTTTCTCGTGACTTTTCGTATTGGATAGTGTTGCCACAAAGTCTCAAAGATCAGTGCTTTTCATTTCCCTGGGTTTGCCCACATAAAATAACGTTCCTCCATGAACATCTTTCCTTGCGGGGTTATGTTCTTTGCTTTCTTTGATGAACTGAAATCGCACATGCTTGGAATACTCTCCCCTCTTTCACATGAAATAACGTTGTTTCACTGCCTTGTCTTTTCCATCTTCTTCTTATCATCTCATCTTTTTACTTGTCCCTATTGTTGCAGGCTATATATGAATGAAGATGCTAGTGGGATATTTGTTTGATCTTTTGAGTACTGTTTGCTAGAAGGAAATTATAAGAGAGGAAGAAGAAGAGATCAGAGGGGGAAAGTGTTATGCTGAAGATAAGGGGGTCTACTGCTGGAGATAGAAGTGTGGCTTGTGACTGTTGTGAAAACAGCATAAGAAGAGAGAAGCTTTCCATCAGATGTTATCCATTGAAAACCCTCCACCAGATCCCCCATGTCCCTGCCAAGCTCTAGTACAGCTGAAAAGTGGTGGTGGTGAGATTGAGAGGCCTCCTCATAAGCTTCCCTTGTCTGAGGTAGATCTGCTAAAGAAGCCATCTTTTGACAATCAGCAGCATCAGCATAATACCCCACTCCCCAAGTTCTCCATCAGGTAATATGATCTAATAATCCAGTACAATTCAAGTTCTATTCATCTTCATAATGAACAGTAACCTTCTTGCTATTTCCCCCTCATGGATTCTGACAGCTTTTCTTTGATCTCATCTTAAGACATCTGTAGGGTCAGATCCAGAGTTTTACGTTGCTTGGTGACTCCGTTCAACAATATTGACACCCCCCAAATCTTTGTCCCTATTTTGGTCTTGGGGAAGGGTTTTTTTCTTCTTCTTATTATCTTTTGATTTCATGTCACTTTGGACCTGGGTTTTATTTTTTGGAGCAAACTTCTGGAAAGGTCTTTGCCTTGTCTTTGCTGCTACATGTGCACCTTCTCATTTTCCCTCTCCCTTTTGCTGCTGGGGTAATCAGTTTATAATAGATCATTGGATATTGGGTTTTGTTTTGCTTGACTGTTTCTTCACTGTTGGTGTATTTCCTTCTCTCTTTTGAGAATCTGTTAAGGTCCATGTGTCCCCCTCCTTCCCGACTCAACATACAATATCAGAATCTTCTATAGTTCAACCTTTGATTCCCCTAAGAAAGCTCTTGAATGTTCAGTTTTTGCTTCCTTTTATCATTACTGTCCCTTTTTTAACAAGTAAATATTTTCATGTAATTTGTTCCAGTTACTGACAACAGAGATCTTCTTGTACTGTAGAGATTATGTGTTCACTGCTCGGAGGAAGGATATCAAGAAGAATTGGCCATTTTCTCCCAAGAATTTGCAACTGTGTTTGAAGCATGGCTTGAAAGATCCATTGCCACCAGTTGAGCCTCTTGGTGCTGTGAGAAACCAATCCATAGAGAGATGTGTGGTTGAATCCAGTCCAATTGCGAAGCAGACTACTAGGACTAAATTCGGTGATGAGCCGGATCATGTGGTACTAGAGTCATCGATTGATGCTTACTCAAACCATAACCAAGCAGGTGCTTGCATAGACAATAGTTCGTGCAGATCGGGAGGAGAACATGGGAATGATTTACCTTCCACAACAGCAAGTGTTTCTCAGTCTGATATAGACTCGGTTCTCATCTACAAGCAGTCCGACTTACCATTGGAAATCAATACAGCAGTGGAAGCATCAGCTGAAGTTCAAGCTGCTGGTAAGATCCGTAAGGCTGAAAACGCAATCCGACCGTCAGGGAAGAAGTGCAGATTAATCGTGAAATTCGCTGCCCATTCTGAACGTAGCACGACTGAAGATATTACTTCAAATTCTACCATGTTATCTGAACCCATGGCTTCTAAAGTTTGCCCTGTTTGTAAAACTTTTTCTTCCTCTTCCAATACCACCTTGAATGCTCACATCGACCAGTGCCTTTCTGATGAATCGACTCCCAAGTGGACAGTGGACTCTAAGTTTACCCGCCATAGAATAAAGCCGAGGAAGACGAGAATGATGGTTGATGTATATGCTACTGCTAAACCATGCACTTTAGAAGAACTTGATCGGAGGAATGGTACATGTTGGGCCACTGCACCAAACATCCTTAACCAGGATTCTGGGAGACTAGAAATATCTGATGAAGGGAAAAAGCAAAGAGCTTCCTCTATTAATCCCAAGGACAATGGTGATGTAGGTGCTGTTTATTTTGATGCCAATGGTACGAAAATTCGCATTTTATCAAATGTTCCACTAGTGTCAAAAGTTGGAGATGATCCTGGGCCAGACAAAGCTTTCAAAGGGAATAAAGGTAGCAAATTCCTTTCAACCAAAAAGAAAAGACAACATTCCTCAAAACATCACAAGTATCTTAAACTTGCTCCTCAAAGCCGAAATTTTTTCTCGCACAAGAGCCGTTCTTCCAAGGTATGCTCTCTTTGTTTTCTCCTTATCCATATGTTCTGCCTTTTTACCAGATCATTTTATGTTTCCTTCATGGGTGTTTTTGAATAACTTTTCTGCCTTTATTTGATGTTGACTAGCTGATTTGGTTTTCTACTAGCTGATTTTGTTATCTTCTTAAACGCCTTGAAAACCTATGTTGCCCGGACTCTTCATTCTACCTTGAAAATCTCCCATGGTCTTTGGCAAAACTTATAAAATCTAGTGATATAGTTGAAAAGATGAGTAATTTGGTATTGAAAAATAAACAATCTTGCATGCCCCTAGCCACCAAACCCGCACCATGCTGTTGTAGTTTGTGATTATAAGTTCTTCAATGAGTTAAAAACGGTAAATTTTGAATTAAAAATAAACAATTTTATATGCCCTTAGCTGCCAAACCCGCTCCGTGCTTGTTTTGTTTGTGATTATAAGCTCTGCAGTGATTATGGTATACTCATGCTGCTAGAATAATATGGTATAAAAAGATGAATGTTTTCTTGATCTAAAAAAAATTAACTTCTCTTCCGTTTGCAATTTTCATAATAGAAGAATTTAGCATTTGTAATCAACACAGCTGCTATATTGTTTTTCAACAGGCGGTTGGAGGTCAAGAAGGGTACTGTGGAGTTGCAGAAAGTTGCAAGAGTGAGGGACTAGATGTGCCAAAGAAAATTAAATTCAATGACTCTAGAAATCTTAGGGAAAGGGTGTGCTCTAAACAAGCTGGTCTTTCGAGGAAGCCTGATAATCTAGATAAAAATCAACCTTCATTTTGCAGACGGAATGTTACCCTTGACTTGCAGGTTCCGAGTGACCAACCACATCAAGGAGATTCTGTTGCGGAGAGAAATTGTGTTCACAAGTTACGAACTTCATCTGGTACTTCTGGAAAATGTGAAAAGACAGAGAAGCCAGTTTATGAAACCCCGGATATGGATGAGAGGGAGCATTCTTTTGGAAGAAAGAGAGTAAGGAGCTCCTTGTGCCGAGCAAGAATCCGTAACAATGTGGAACGGAGATCGCTTGATCAAAATGAAAATCAGTTGAGCAAAGACCCTCCTCCCCATCTAGATAAGCATCATTTGGTGAAATCTTTTAACACTGGTGGAAATTGCTCATCTTCATTGAGCAAGAAGGTGGTTGATATTGATGCAAATAGTAATCCCAATACTCCTGTCATTGCTGCAGCTCCTATTAGTGGTCGTTCTTTTGCAGTCAGACGCATCAGATCCTCACCAAAGAAAAATGTTTCATCTGCTAGCAGAAGGTCTTCCATCGGCAAATCTGGTTCTAACTTGGTTAAGAATCATTTGGCGACAAAAAGTCGAGTGCATTTTATGGAAGAAACGGATGAGGAGGATGTATCCTGGAGTCCTGAGTCTGATCAAGAATGCGACTTGGTGTATGATAGTTCCGAAAACCAACGTGGAATGAAAGAGATTACCGAAGAAATGTCATTTGGTGGAAGCAGCATCCAAGAAGCCCCATCTGGAGAACAAAGAGGAAGAAAAAGTATTTCCTGGAGGGAGGAATCCGTGGCTTTGAATGGCATACATTCAGCTCCTAGTTGTTCTGATGATGATGAGACGGAGAACACTGATTCTTCTGCAAGAAGTACTGAGAATATTCTGCATAAAGCTGATGGTTTGGAATCTTTTGAGGAGACTGTCACTAGTTTGAGTCACTCTTTAGAAACCAAGTTTAACAAACTGAGTCATCTTTCTGAGAATAGTTCCAATTGTTTACAGGCTCATGAGGATTACAGCAGGACTTTGTGTGGGGGTGAAGGACTGGCTGACCTTACTGAGCCAAGTCTTCGTGAAAGGCACATGTTTTGTGCAGAAGTTAGCCATGATATTATTGGACAAACAGGTAATATGGGAGGAGAATTGGATTCTGATGCGGCACCATTGAACTCTTTTCCTGAGGTTGATCCGATACCTATTCCTGGTCCACTGGGATCATTTTTGCCTAGTCCTAGGGACATGGGCTCTGATGATTTTCAAGGGAATTCATCATTGTCCACCAGCCGAATTCAATCCTCTCAGGGTCGGCTTGATTTCCTTGATGGGGACTCATCAGATTCGCCCATATCTGCAGTGTCTGGAATCTCTAATTCTCTGGAAGCGAAGTCATATTCAAAGTTTGCCGAGCCATTACCATTTGTCAGTAATCCTTCAATGCTAGAAAATTATAGGTCTGGCTACTCCACTGCCAAATCTGAGCTTTTAGTTGAAAATAGTGTTGCATTTCCCCATACAAGCGCAGGACTAGAAAGAACTATTAAAGGAGAGAAGTTGAGAGTGCATAGAACGTCTCTTGAAAAAAGACCTTTGATTTTCAAAAGTGACGATCAGCCTTGCTGTTGCCAAAGAAAAGACGGATCTTCCCAGGTTTTTGCCCTAAATTATCAGGAGTCGCAACTACTAAGGCAACGGACAACAGCTTCGTTGATGGTCCCTGCCATGGCGATGCAAATTGCTGCCAATCAAAATATCAATCCTCATAGTTTGGATGGAAGACCAGAAACAAACTCTCTGAGCAGTAGTGCGAGTTTAGGATCTGAACAAAGGGTTCTATCTTTCATGAAACCTCCTGCAGGTTCTGTTGCTTGTAAAGGATTCCATGATGCTGATGTCAAGCTTTCTGATTGCAGTAACTGTGATCCTGCAACCCCATCTTCTAATAATCCCGTTCTCAGGCTGATGGGAAAGAACTTAATGGTGGTTAACAAGGAAGAAAACACACCTGTGCCACTTGGTCAGGCTGAGTCATGTGCCCAGAGTAATCATCTAACTCCTAGGTTTCCAACTTCGTCTGGAACCTCTCCTACCAATATCGGGAATCAAGGTGGAATACCCTTCTGTCAGACAATCCCTCAGAGTTCTTTAATCTTAGATCAGCATCCAACAGATTTGGCGGGGCTATCTTTTGATGTCCAATTAGCAAGTGGCTATAGAAACCTTGCAAATCTTGGAACACCACGAAAAGAAGCACAATTTCCAGCTGGCATGTTTTTTGACGAGCGTATGGAATGTGGTTTGTCAACCTCCATGGAGCTCTACAAATATGCGGGTGACTATAATTTGCCAGTTCAACCAAGCAGAGCGAAGAACAGGCCAGGACCAGATATGGTGAAAGCCGCAACTCTAGACCACAGACACAGGAAAGGTGATTCTACTGTTTCCAGTAAAGAAGTAATCGTCATTGATGATGCTCCGGAAAGTGAAACAAACAAGTTTGGTGACACTGCCAAGCATTTTGAAGGCTTGAGGGAAAGCTCACTGATATCACCCGGCCTTTCAATGCCATTAGTTCCCAACAATAGTGTGAGGCGCATGAATCCTTTTTTTCATAATCAGTCGGAAGACTCTTTACGTGGCGACCTAACCATGGTACAAAATAAGAACTTCAATGCAATCCCTTCTGGTCGAGCCAATACAGTTCCTTTCCAATGGGATTGCTCTTCAGAAGGCTCTGGAGTGCCACAGCGTGCTCCTCTCATGGTTGTATCGCCCACAAGAGTCCATTTCAGACCCGCAGTTTATTATCCTCCGAGTTTGTCTTAGCGCTTTGTGACGTACGGGAACTGTTAGATGGTCTATACTGGGCATCCGCAGGTTTCATATCAAACTTGTACCGAATCTTGAGCTTCTCCATTACATGATGATACGCGACAGCCAAAATAATTGCAGATTGAGTTATAATAGTTTCCGTGCAAGTTTAGCATTTGAGATCTCTTATGTTTTTATTTTTCACTTCACTTACTGTTGAACAAACTTTTCACAGTTCTTGAGACTTGTAAGCTTCGGCAACTAGAAAGTTATCACAAAAACCAGATAATATATAAGCCAAATCCTTGAGAATAAACCTGACGAAGGGCAGAGTTTAAGGTGTCCTTATATCAAGTAATATGTGAATATCTAGATGTTGAAGTAACCTGACGACATAATATAAACATGAAGATCATTAAGTGTGAACATATGTAATACAAGAGAGGTTTGAGTTTATTGATCTTTCATAGTTGAGGCATTGTCGAGGTGAGGGTATTTGCATACATTGCATGGCTGACGAGCTTGAGGCAGTTAATGGTAGGTAGCTGTTTGGACTTTAGAAAGGTAAATATACAGATGAGATATCATATATAATTTACGTGCTTCATTATGATATGAAACATAGACACATCGTAGTGTGTATATATATATATATTATAGAGAGAGAGAGAGAAGGATGAATGGTATTATATATATATATATATATATATATATATACACACACAAGTGGAGATAATTGCTTCTCCACTGTAAAGATGATTTATATACTGCCATGGCTACGTACTTGTGTGTTTGCATTCGTGCTTACTTCGCAGCTTAAATAAGCTTTTGACAAACAGCAATAGAAAAAGCAAGAAAATAAAGTTTTTAAAAAAAATTATTACAACAAAAGAATTGACTTTCAATTAATAAAATAATAATTTAATTTAATTTAATTGTATAAGTAAGTTTGATGTTGAATATTCTGTGTACACGTCCGTAACACAATAGATTTGTTGATAATCAATTAGTTTAATGTTTCGTATGGGATTATTCAGTGAATTGTTTGAGTGATTTGCAATTAAACAATAACTAATCAAATCGAATGCTCCGACACAACCAACACAACCAACCAACCATTACAAAATGAAAAGGAGGAGGGCAGTTTGGTAATTAGGGAATCACACACCCGTCTTCTTCTGTTGTGTCAATTCTGCAAGATGGGCAGCCGACCGGGCCAGCCCTATTGTCTCGGTGGGGGGCCCATCCACCATGTGTTCCCCGTCGTCCACTTTCTTTTTCATTCCCTCTTTTATGTTCCACTTGATAGGTAATTATAATTGTACAACTACTAGTATTTAAAGTACAAAAAGTTTAAACACGAATCAAAATTATTTTATAAGTTAAAGGAATATTTGATGTGATTAAAGATTTTGAATCGGAGCACTAATATCTATAGAATTGTCTGAACATTTAAAGTTAAATAATTTAGAATTTTGAGAATAATATTATTTTATAATTACCTTAATTTAATAAAAATATAAATTTTTTAATACAAACCAAACCACTTCAATAAATAAAGAATGATTATTATTTTTAATAATCTCATATTCAAACATGTTTATAAACATGTTTTAATTTTAATTGTCAAATAGTTAAAAATCTTCCAAACAAATATCATGTTATAATCATCACAATTTAATCCAAAAAAATCTACAAATTATTGATCAACTTTCTTCGCATTTTTATTTTAATAAAATTTTAAATTTAATCATTAAACTTTTGGATTGAAATGTTTATCTTACACAATTTAATTTTTAGATTAATCATGTCATCGATTATCGTTGTCAGCAATAATTAAACCCAACAATTTTATATTAGGCTCTTTTATCCATTAAACCTAAATTCGGTCTCTATTTTTCAAATCTATAAATCATAATTACCCCTTAAACTTTAAATCACAATCAAACCCTGAGATCAGTAAAAGAGAAGCTAAAAATGAAAGATAAATTTTTAATCTTTTTATAGAGTTTCTATGAGAAATTAATCTGAGATACTTGCAAATGAAGAAAAGTTGAGTTGAATGACATTATTGTTGGTGAGAAGTTATGTCAAACAATAATTGAAGTTGTTAGGCAATATATTTATGGAGCTTGAGGTATTTTATAGTTAAATATATACTATATTCGTGTTCAAAAGGACAAGACGAGTTTGATAGAAAATTTTGAGACTTATCGATCTCCAACGACAATAACCGATTATGATAATAACAATGATCGACACGGTGATAGAAATGGTTCATGCAGAGATGGAACTACTAAGGCAGTGGGAGGGGATGTGCCCCCCAACCCATCATTTTTTTTACATTTAATTTATATATAAAATTTAAGTATTTATGAAATAATTATGAAATTGCCCCCTTACTGATTTTAGAAAATTATATTTTGCCCCCCTCAAGTTGAAATCCTGGCTTTATCCCTCGGATCATGTTTTTTTTTTTGTATATCCAAAGGTATCCCCAGGCTGAGACTAATCCCTGAGGTACTGTCGGGCATGAAGGTGGGGACATCTCCCAAGAAAATTTGATGCATCCACAAGGGTTTGAATCAGGGACCCCTTGCTTAAGCGACCAGAATCCCTTCCACTCAGGCCAACCTTCGTTGGTCCTCGGATCATGTTTAAAGAATGAAAAAAAATGAAAATTAAGAGAGGGAGATAAAATAGTTTTTATAAAGATTAAAATCTCATCATTTTGGTATGAATTTAAAACTATTTTAAATCTTCTGTAGTTTTCGTGCTTAACAAAGGTTAATAGGTAAAATTTAAAAAATTTATTAAATTATCTTAAAATATTATTTGACACTGAAATTTTAAAAGTTATGAAAAAGTTAATAGGTAAAATTTAAAAATGTTATTAAATTATTTTTAAAGATTTAATATAAAAATAAGTGTTTAAACTATATCTCGAAATATGTTTTAGTATCTAAATAATTTTTTGCCAAAAATAATTGTATAAAGTTTCTAATGTTATATTTTTAGGTACTTGACCATAACGATCATTAAATTTGACCATTTCTGACATGTTCCGCCTTCATTTTTTTTGAATTTTTAATTAAAATATTATTAATTTAATTTTTTAACTTTTTCTAAAATTAAAAAAAAATTAAAACTCTAAAATCTTTTATTCCATCTCTCAACCACCCATCGTTAGCCATCACCATCATCATACAGCCACCCACCTGTCGTCGAACTTCCATTGCCGACCATCCTTCTTACCGTTGTTCAAATCTCCCTAAATCTAGGAATCCTTAAATCTAAATTTAATGGGTGATGGATTTAGCTAGGATTTAATCTTAATAATCTTGATGGTTCAGACTGGAGAAGGGGGACCGAAGGCTGCGGTAACCAAAAGTGACATTTTTTTGTCGATCGTGTCATTTTTTTTTATCATTTTAGCATATTGTGGAATCTACTGCGAGGGGGAAGCTGCTACGACGGGTAGGAGTGTGCAAAAATATCCAATCCAAACAATCTGATCCGAATATTTTGATATCCGATCCAATATTTTTTGGGTAATTCAGATCGGATATTCGATAGAAAAATTAGATAATCGGATCGGATACGAATCAGAAAAATCTTAGTTTAAGATTATTCGAATTATCTGAAAATAAATGGGCTTTTTAACCCTAGGCCCAATAACTATATCTTTCACGGGAAGCTTTTTCAAATAAATGGGCCTTTTGCTTGTACACGTGATCCTGGAAACTTGTAGAGTTCCTTCTCTAATCGATATCCATTAAAGTTTAATGTTTTTCTATTAAAGGTAATATTGCTGCTAACGCCCTCCAACTTTATTTGTTCTATTTTCCTTTCATTTTCTAAACCACATATCAGCGTTGCATCTTAAAATCACCTATTTATTGATTCGAATTCCGTATAATTTGAAGTCTTTGTTTATATTTTTACGTGCTTATGGACACGAGTTATTCAAACGTAAAAGCCTTCATTCATCGAAAGTTGTTGGCGAATGGCGAGCCTTCACCTTCATCTGTTCTTTTCACCATCAAAGATGCCATTATAAAACTGTCAATATGATTCTAAAACAAATTGAAAATACCCAGATATTTTGTTTAATTATTTATTTTTAAATTTATTTAATTCTTTATCTTAAAACTCTTGAATAATTTTAATGTTGTATCAGAATATTGCCCATATAATTCTAAAAAATGGGATTATTTCTAAGTAAAATAAGTGATATGCTCGGATCGGATATTTGGATATCCGATCCGAAAATTCAGATCACAATCTTAAGTATCCGAAATTTCGGATATCCGAATTTTCAGATCGGATCGGATCGAATCCAATATCCGATTTTGCACACCTTAGGGGAGAAAGGGGACGGGTGGGAGGTGAGGGTGAGGTGGGATCCACCTTTTTTAAAATGATTTTTTAATATTTTTATTTTAAAAATCAAATTTTAATTGAAAAAAATAATATATAACGGTAGACACTTAAAAGTATAAGATCGAAAACTTTAGGCACTTATTATTAGTGAAAAATTCTTTCAACACTAAAACGTTTTTCGAAACATAATTTAGACACTTATTTTTATATTAGGCTTATCTTACCATAATGGATAATGTAAAATGTTAAAATTAATGAACAATATGTCGCTTGATTCGTCGACTGTTATTAAAATGTCATTGAACATTTTTAATATTCCTAAATAATAATTCTAAAAGTATTACAAAAACAGAAAACGGTGTTTAAACGAGAGCTGATCAGAAAACGCATTCCTTGTTGGCTTGTTCATTGTCATCAATGCATCTGTTCCTTCCATGAATGAAAGCCAAACTCGAATTATGCATTGCTCATATCATCTTCATGACCGTAGTTTCATCACTGTGAGCACTGATATTTGCTCATCCTCCTCTCCAGTCAAGTCCAAACCGACGGCATTCTCTACTAGGATGACATGCTTGTCGACTAAGATCTTCACAATGTGAATCCTCATTCAGTGAAAGAAGAGAGTCCACATTGTCGGAGATGATGAAAAATCTAAAATTTAGTGAGTGTTTTTTTAACTCTTAAAAGTTTTATGCTTACAATTATTGTTTTGAGTTAGGTTAATGATCAATCTTGAATTTTACCCAAATTAATTATGGGGTAATTTATGCGTTTGGTACCTAAACTTTTATTTTTTAAAATCATACCTAAAGTTTACATTTTGTTTCATTTTAGTACTACGTCGTTAAAAACTTTAGTTTTTGTTTATTTAACGTTAAGTTTTGAAAAAAATTGGAAGTTTGGGTATTAAAATGGGCCAAAACTGATGGTTTAGGTACTAATCACATTAATTTTTAAAGACGAGTATTAAAATAAAATGAAAACTAAATATTAAGTATGGTTTTGAAAAAATTAAAGGTTTAGGTATTAAAACGGATTAAAACTAATAATTTAGGTACTAAATATGTAGTTTACTCTTAATTATATAAGATTTTAAAAAATGAAATTATATGATATGACACTATTTTTGCTTAATAAAAAATAAATTAAATCCCTGCCCTATATAATTTAAAATATAACTATGTATGGGGTTTCCCATTTCCTTCGGTTTATCATCACCGTTACATTCTTCATCTTCGATTCTAAACCTTCACTTCAATTTCTCACAAACATATATTCTATGTCTGCTTAAAGAAAGGAACGGCTTTTAATTACGTAATCATTTCATTACATCTTTTTACCTTTCCCCCTAATTTCAATTCTTTTTTTTTAATTATTTCAATTTAATCTTTGATACGTTTTTCGTGATGTGTATTTATAGAAAAAGTAAAGCTCATTTGCTTGTGGAATTCTTTAATTTGTATTCGGGATTGATGTTTAATTGTTAATCCAATGATGGATGCATTTATATTTTATTTCACTTCATTGACTCTCTTTTTTTTCTAATTGGGGGAAATGACTGGGTTGATTTTTCATTTTTTTTCAAACTTTTAATTGATTGGGTCATGATTTTGGTGGAATGGTAATTATTGTTCTTGATTTTGATCTGAGTGAATCTTGTGCGATACCCAATTTACAGTTATGGATTTGCAAAGCGAATGTTCTGCACTTGAATTGGTTGAGGATAATGAAGCCACTCAGAACTTAAAACCTCATGTCGATGGCGATGCAATCAAGAATAAGCACGCTGATGATCACGAGAATAAGTATAATGGATCGTGCACAAATGATGATCAGACTCAGAGGTTGGCCACTATTCAAACCGACAGATCCGATGCTTTTACAGCCGATAATCATTTAAACGCTACTTCTCGGATTGTGCAGCCAATGCATTCACCTCTTGCAGCAGTTAAATCTCCTTTTGCGTCATCTACTCCTTCCACCAAAGGGTATGGCTTGAAGAAATGGAGGCGGATTAAGCGAGACTTTGTTAAGGATGCTACTGTCACAATGGAAAGCGGTAAAATGTTGAAGCGCGGTTTAACCGGTTCCACAAATCCGGATCCTAGTAAACCACAACATAAGGCATCATCTGAGATCAAGCAGAACAGTGGAACCCCTACTGGACCATTGAATATGTTGAAGAATGCAAGTGATTCTCCTGGGTTCATGATGCATAGCCCTGATTCAGATTCCATTTTTGCAGTTGGAGCTGCTTTTGCTGCTGCTACAGACTCTGAAAATAGCGAGGATCGGAGTAGCAAGTCATCTACAGCAGCCAGTATGCCAAAGGTCAGATATGATCTGCCTTCAGTTTTGGGCTACATTCACGAGAAACACCAGTTGGAGAATTTAAGTGGGAACACCATGGGTAATTCAAGTCAAGGAGTTCAACAGGGAAAAGGTCGTGCTGAAAGCAGCAAGAAGGCCAGAGGAGTAAGGGTCAAAATCGAAAAGGAAAACTCTCATTCCAGCATGGAATCCGACTCAAGAAGCTCGAACTTCATCTCTACACGGGGTCAAGTTTCAGTGACGAGTAACGGAAAGCAATGTGGAAACTCCATGAATTATGATGGCGAAAATAGTGATGAGGCCCATGAAGACGAACAACAGATCAGTGAAGAAGTTCAAACTGCTTTTAGGAAAGAAAATTCTGGTGACATTGAGGAACTTTCATCTGATTTAGCTGCTGGATTATCTTGGGAGGATAAAGATGAGAAAATTGAGGATCATCAACCTTCACCAGATCAAGACCCATTGGTCCAGTCTATTCTTGCACTCCGGTCTGTTCAGGAAGCCCTTGAAAATGGTGGGCTATCCTCCTGAAAATTTTGATGAACCTCCTCGTTGTTTGTTTATATATTATTTACTAATGGATACTGTATCATATCTTGCAAATTTATCTTGGTGGTATTAATTTGTTCATATTTAGTTAGCTTATTTTGGAATTTCAGAGATATTTCGTTAAGTATTTACTTAATGCAAATGATAACAAGGTCCTCCTTTAAGTTGGGGTTGGGAAAAAGATTGAACTTAGTTGTTATTTATAAAGCCTCGTTGGGGCCAACTTTTAAATTCTCAAAACCAGTCTCCATGCATGTTCTTGGCTGAACTGGTATCAGGTAGTCTTAGATAAGTCTAGAACAAGCTTCTTAATGGGCAGGTAGGGCTGCTGTCAACATAGGCTGTAAAATGCTAATGAGAAAAGCATAAGGGAACTTCAGACTATCATTAAGTTAGTGAAACTATTTTTCAATAATTAACAATTGATAGCAATGGTAAGTATTTGGTGAAGCTAGGAATAATGTTCAGTTCATATGAGATTCAGATCAATTGATTTTGCTGGTTTATGGTCAATGTTACAACACACATCTGTTTCGATAGTCTTCAATGCATCATGGATATTTGTTGGTTAACGAGTCTAGGACTTAAGCATATTTGTTTTCATTGTTGGTGAAGTTAAATTGTTAATTGTCCATTTTACCCAAGTACTTATCATTTCATCTAGCATAATTGCTGACCGTGCATATTTTCCCCCCATGCAGAATTACACAAGCTGGGAGATATAGGCAAGGAACCTCTACATGATGGTTCAGTTAGCATTAAGGGCGTTGATGTGGATTCTACTTTTGCTGACGAGGAAATCCAAGAAACTTGTTCATCTGACCAATTAGTTTCTGGAAAGATAACAAAAGGTACTTCAAGTTCCTTGGAAACTCAAATATTAATCTTAACACAGAAAGTAAAATATTTGGAGAGCAAACTGGAGGAAGCAAGGGTCGTACTTCGGGCGAAGGAGTCAAGAATTTTTGAACTGGAAACTGTAAAGTGTAGCAGGTCACAGAAGGAAGAATCAAGCACTGCAGAGTTGCAACAAGATAAATATAGACAAATGGAACTTGACCTTGAGGGCCTGTTCCAACAAAAATTGGAATCTGAAATTGAATTTCTAGTTCTAACCTACAAAGTAGAGAAGTTGAACGGTACAGTTTTTGAAGAAAAAACAGCATTGGCTGGAGAACAAGAACAGATGTTGAATAAGCTTGGAGAGGTAGAAAGCAAGGCTGTAACGTTAAAGAAACAAGCAGTGGAGTTGGAAAAGTATCATGGAAACATCTTAGAGGTGGAAGAGGTTTTGAAGATGCACGGGAGAGTGAGCAAGGTTATGTCATGTTTTTTCATACAACTGGTACTGCTGGTTTTAGTGTTCTTATTCCTTATCTTGAATTTTTCAACCCATTCAGGGGTGGTTGTCCCCACCTGAATTGAGGAAAATAGGCCTTTTTGCGAGTGTATGTGTGTATTCTACTGTGTCTAGGCAATGATCCAACTGTAAGATTTCATTGGTTAAAATACCGCAACTTTGTTAAAAAGTGGGAACCTTTTTCATACTTGATTTGGGCTTCACTTCTCCATATTACTACTTTACCTATAAATACAGGGCTTGTTCCTTTTGCTGTGAAAGTATGTATAATTTAATTCTAAACTTCTGGTCATGGGGGGCTGCTGCCTGCCGAGTGCCGATGGCTTGGCTTTGAATAGTAGTGTTAGTCTATCTGAGCAAACCTCCATTATTTACTCTTTATAATTTGGCATTGAGGGGAACTATGTGATGAGGTGACAGTTGAGATGTGTACCTTACTAAGTTTCATCAGTTAGATTTATAGTCAATTGGAATGTTCTTAGTATTGAACGGTATTCATTGTAGAAGAATTGCTTACTGCTAGGAGACGGCTCCATTCTGCACTCTTTTTATGAGCCATGTTTTCCTTTGAACAATTTAACCCAAATCCGATGGTCTTGACCCGACCTGATAGGATACGATTTAAAAAAAAAATCGGATTAAGGTCAAGTCAGATTTTTTAAGGGGTGGGGTTAGGTCGGTTCAGGTCGATGGTAAAAAAACTCCGATCCGACCCGATCTCAAGATAATAATGTAATTTTATTAAAATTTTTATTTTGTTTAATTAATCCTTATTTTATAGCGGGACAAATTGGGTTGAATTTATACTCTAAAAATTTAGGTCGGGTCATAGTTGGGCGGAGGGTATATATTTTTCGGATCGAGTCGGCTTCTGGCGGAGGGTGCATATTTTTGGGTTGGGTCAGGTTGACCAAAAACCCAACCAGTTGCCATCCTTTGAACTAGGCTGGATGTATCGTTAAGATTGTTGTTGGATTATCTTCACTTTTAGTGGGTTGTAGTGTGTTAGCTAGGGGTGTGTATTAAGCGAGTCGATCGTGAGTTGGGTAGTGCTCGACTCGTGCTCGTTAAAAATTTTTATTGCTCGACTCGTTGCTCCTTAAGCTCGACGTTCATTACTCGCCTCCTTGTTCGTTAAACTCACCGAAATTTTTACCTTATTTTCTTAACTATAGGTAAAATCTACTAATACTATGTAGAACTTAATATAAACATAAATGAATAAATTTAACAAAAAAGTTATCAAAAGAGTATATGAAGTAATTTTGAAGTCTAAACTGCGAAGTCACAATCCACAAATACATTAAAATAATAAATAAGTTTTGATTTTTGAGTGTATGAAATAATTTTTTGAGATAATTTCTAAAAAATTATATAAAAATTTAATGAGCTGCTCGCAAACATATCGAGTCGAGTTAGACTCTGCTCGACTCAACTCGTTAATGTCTCGAGTCGAATCAACCCAAATCGAGTATTTATCGAGTTTTAACCGAGTCAAATTTAAACTTCACACGTTGGAAAATGTAGGTGTAATGTGTAACAGTCACATGTTAATAAAAGCTTATTGGCACTCTTTTCCACTTCCTCTATCTTGAATGAGCTTTAGCTCGATCAAGTTACGAGGAGATTTTTAACGAGATTCTATTTACTTTTTAAAAGAAAAAGAAGATTTACAGCTTACATTTTATTCAAAAAAGTGCAATGAATCAGCAAAGTATCATTGATGAGCCCCATACCTTAAAATCTGGTTTTGAAGTAGATGTTCATGTAAATTTACTATCTCCATATGCTTTCCAGATTGCATATTTTCTACCAGACAACAATATACTAACCTCACTATAAATCTTTTATTTTATAGCACTGGAGTATACCATGAGTGTTGGGGCTGAGAGAACGAAACATTGTTAGGAGGAACAATCTCGAAACCCGGGCAGGAACGATACCAAAAGTAAAATAAAAAAATATATAGCACTGGAATTATGTTATAGGTTTGTAGCAGTCTGATAGATAAATAACCACATTCTACAAAGCTCTCCCATCTGATGACCCTATGTTTCAGCAATGGGGCAGGGTTAACATAATCCTCATACATAAAATCTAAGAAAAGGGAAATGTTGAGCAACAACAAACATACTTTGAGCTAGGGTTTACGTCCCATCATTTAGTTCCTAACAACCAACACATCAGAGGCTACTAAGGCGTCGAATCACGGGAAGATCTATATTCCAACTTCTCACTTCTGTATCTCTCGTCGTCCTTCATCCCTCCCCCCTGATAAACCTACATCCCAATTAAGAAATGTCATTTTGAGAGAGCTCCAATACTTGAATGAAACAATGTAGTAGTAAAACTGCAGAGACAATCCAATATACAGATACTGCTGGATTATCTGAAACAAAAGATTACTAGTCTACTTCCACCTGTTTCTCGGCCCCTGTCAGATTGCTCTCTAGGTGTCCAATCTTCTCATTGACGACTTTCTCTTCCCCATAGTATGAGGGTTTGATTCCATCGTAATGTTCGGAAAAGAAAACATTATAACCACTCCTGTTAGGCTTTGGCCTAGAGAGGTCTTGTAAAGCTAGCCGGGATCTCTTTCGGCGTAGAGGGGGTACATCTGATGTATTTGAACTTTGAGACAATTGAAGCATTTGGGGGATATGATATAGGACACCTTTAAATTGATCAGACCCAACCCGAACTGTAACCAGATAGCCATTATCGAATTTTCCATCAATGATCCCCGTCACAGAACTGCCAATCTGCAACTCCTGAGTACCTGCTTGTATGAGAATGGTAAAAGCCCTCATTTACCAAGATAGCTACATTCAAACACTCACAAACAGGTATACGAAATAGACAAATAAGATGGTGAAAATTTTGATATAAATTATAACTAAAACTACCCTCTGAAATCCTTTCAAAGTAAACTGATATAATTTTCAAACGAACATTCTAGTCTCTAGAAGCTCAAAAACTCAGTAATTGACATTAAAAAGTTCAATGATGTTGTTTTTGGTTTTTTAAGGAAATTTGAATTGCGGGTTTCACAACCATTTCAACCAACTAGGTTCGAACAACCATCTAGGTATGAAGGAACATCACTTATTGCAGATTATTCTGGATTCATGGAAACACAACTGTAATGCATGGTTTTCATAATTCAAAATATATTTGCAATTGTTTTCTCCAGAAAAAAGATGGCAACTATAATAGCTATCAAATTATGATAGGATTGACAAAGACATGTCTATGCAAGTCTAGTAAGCCTAGAAATATTAAGTAATGAATGTCGATCAGATATACCGATGTCATTTTCACGAATATTGGAATGAAAAGCTCCTTCATATGAAATACAGCTAGAAGTTAAAATATCCCGTCAGAGTAAACAGATCCATCATATCAATAGGTAGTTAAACATACCGACAGCTGCTAATTGGTTTGGAGAGGCGCCTTCCCTAGAATTTGCAGATCCGGTCACAAGGCTCCCACTGGCACTGCCTGCAAGGATGTAGTTAAAAAATATAAAAATTTACAAGCTGCAAATATTTCTTCAAAGACGAGGATGCTTCCATCCGAGGGGAAAAAGGAGTAGTTACCAAATACCTGGGGATGAGACTGAAGAGACTTGTTTGCGGAAGAAATAGACTTGCTCGAATTGATAAAGCAACGATAAATAATACTTCCTTAAAACAAAAAGATGCACTTGTAATGGTTGTTGGAAATCTGAAGGCCATAATCACTTCCTTCCATCTGCGATCTTTTATTACCTGTAAACCATTTCAAGGAAATTTAAACGGAAAACGAAAATAAACTTCCCTTCAGTTTGGGTGTAACAAACTAACACGTTGGGACAACTCAATTAGTTGATAACTCAAAAGCTTTTAAAGAATTTGTAATACCTTTTCAAGACCTCCACGTGATGTGATCTCTACAAAGAGTTGATGCAAATCCAGATCCTTTCCTCCAACAACCGGAACCCTATCCGACCAAAACAACAGAAGAAAATATACCCTAAGTAGTAGTTTTCTTTCTCAAGTCTCAACCTGTTATATCATTTCCCAACACCCAATTTTCCCTTTAACAAGTCAAATGATACATACTTTAAAAGCGTTAATGAAAATGAAAATAGAATCTCCAGTCTCCCACCTTTAACAGGTGTGCACACCTTGTGTTATGTTTATTCATGCATGAACATTCCAAATCATATCACAAAGTAAACAAAGGAAAAGGAAACAAAAAGGGGTAGACTATGAAGTTTCCAGTTAGAAAAAGGTTACAAATTCTGCATCGACCAGGAGACCAGATACATCAAGCAATATAAGTAACAAGAAAGCAGAAGCATAAACCATAGGCAGATAATTTGATGCTATAGTTCCAAGTGTCAGGATCTAATTGCAAACTACTAAATACGGCTGAAGCTAACCTAGAGTAACTGAGACCGTTCAAATTCAAAATGAACACGCAGGATTTGCTATAATCCTCCCTTGAAGAGCAAGTTTTACTAGTTTAGTTGTTTCATTTTTCAATAAAGAGAATGAGATCCTAAAAATGTTACAATTAGCAGTTATATAAGAAAAACACCAAGTGTGAGCTATGTACAACGGAATCTATCTATCTATCTATCTATATATACACACACACAAAAGTAGTCAGCCAAAACCCTGCATGCAATCTAAGAAAAAGGGTGCTTATCAAGAAGAAAAGGGAAATAGGGGAAAATTACAATAATGGAACTTCAAATTAAACAACTAAAGTGGAAGATGCCTTTTTTCAGTACACAGAAATTAGAAAAACTAATCGAACTCATAAATGATTGTAATGAATGCAAATCATAAGAACATCCAGAACCCCTGAAAATTGCAACCCATAAATTAAAAAAAGAAAAAAGAGGACTTGAAATACGATGGACAAGGATCTGTGAAAGGCTACTCTTGCAAAATCAGCAGTAAGAAAGCAAGGAAAAAAGAACAACCCAGACAAGGAAATAAGGTTGGGAATTGGAAAAAAAAAGAGTTACTTGAATTTCAAGCCGAGAGATTTGTGAAAAGCTTTGAGCTTTTCCCAGAAAAGGTCAGGACTTTGAACAACATCGTCGTAGTTAGGGGTTGGAGAGGGATGCCCATTTCTACTCTGACTCTGCTGTTGATGTTGAGACATCTTTAGACCCAAATTCAAAAACAGTTTTGGATTATGATTCCCCCCCCCCCATTCAAAAACAGTTTTGG